TGATTTTATATAACCATCATCATCATCATCATTTCCATTATCATAATCAGGATTGACAGCTGGTCTGGCGGCTCCCTTGGTAGCTGGTAGCTTGGGCATTGCCTCCGGTACGATTGGCACTGCCCTGTTTGCCACGAAAGCGGGCGTGGCTATCGTCGGATCTCTGTTCGGATTGGCTGGTGCTGGTCTAACTGGTTGGTGATTGGCTGGTGCTGGTCTAACTGGTTGGTGATTGGCTGTTTGTCGATCGGTGATTGGTTAAGGATTGGTGATTGATTGGTTTTTTTCATCTAGATTGTTGTTGATTATCGATTTATTATTAAGTCTTGTTACGATTTGACTATGAATAGCTGCGAGTTGTTGTTGTTTTGAAAGTTTCATTCGTCAGCTACGTTCGAAGGGAATGTTTTTATTTGAGTGCTTAGATAATAATGAAGGATGGTTTGCTTGCCTCTGGGCTGGCTTGGTGGTTTGGTGTGACACACAAACGCGCAATTTCACACAATTTACACCACACACACACACACACACACACACACACACACACACACACACACACACACACACACACACACACACACACACATACACACACACGCGCACGCACACACACGCACACACACCAGGTCACAAAATGAACAAGAGAGTGGGTGATTTGGATGAATTTGAATTCGAGGAGTTGAGTGGTGGAAAGTCCCTGGCAGTCACCATTGCCGTGTCCGGTTGGCTCAACGACACGTACTCAGGTTTGTGGCGGTAGGATTGCCATGTGAGGATGTTGTGGTGTTTGGTTACGACATTATAATAATGTGAATTCATTGAAACATGATATGTGATGAAGCGCTACGTTAATCGCATAAACATCCATCCATCAATTCATTCATTTATTCATTCAATCGTTTGTTCATTTATTTATTCGTTCGTTCGTTCATTTATTCATTCATTTACTCACTCATTTACTCACTCATTTACTCACTGACTCACTCACTCACTCGCTCGCTCACTCACTCGCTCGCTCAATCACTCACTCACTCACTCACTCATTCATTAAATGAATTCAACAGATTTCAGAAAAGTATGGCTTGGACTGGATGAAACGCCAGAGCAGTACACGTTGAATTATGAAGGGAAGTATTTGAAGGAATTGGGAGGAGCTATCCATCAGTTAGCACTGATTGATTGGTTGAGTGACTGATTGATTATTTAATGAATAAATGAATGAATGAATGATTTAATTAATTAAATTCATTCATTCATCGAATGATGGTTGAGTGACTGATTGATTAATTAATGAATAAATGAATGAATGAATGAATGAATGAATGAATGAATGAATGAATGAATGAATGAATTAAATTCATTCATTCATTCATTCTTGAGTGACTGATTGATTAATTAATGAATAAATGAATGAATTAATTAATTAATTCATTCATCGAATGATTGATTTTATTTCTGATTCATTCTTTCAATCGTTCGTTTTTTTGGCTCTTTCATCTACTCATTCATTCATGTATTGTAATTATTTTCATCATCATCACAACCACAATCGTTATTTTCCACCACCACCATCATCACCGCCATCATCATCATCATCATCATCATCACCACCACCACCATCATCATCATAATCATTACCATCATAATCATCATCACCATCATCATCATCCACATCATCATCACCACCACCATCATCACCATCATCATAATCATCATCACCATTTCCGTCATCATCATCATCATTATCTTCATCATCATCCTCATCATTATCATCATCATCATCATCAGATTCACCCAGTTAGGTATATCCTTAGCAGTTAATGAAGGACTGAAGCATACGATCTTACAAGGTTCGTCGTCGTCATCATCATCATCGTCATCTTTATCATCCTAATGTTATCATCAATGTTGGAATCATCATCAGCAGCAGCACCATCATCATCGCCATCATTTATCATCATCATTATCGCATTCACCATCACACTCAGCGTGATGATATTACTGATGATGATCCTAATAAATAATAAAAATAAAAATAAAATTATTTGTGTACAATTTTTCTCCATGTATAAGCTTGCTCTAACCGGATGGGGTGACTTTTTCCATCGTTGGATGTGCTATTTAGCGTGATTATTTTATTGAGTTTTTTATTTCTACATATTTATTATTTTTATTTTTTTTTGATGACGTCATCTTGCGAGAGTTTCTACTTATTTTTTTATGTTTAGCTTTTTTTAAGGAATTAATTAAATTAATTTTGAGTTTTTTTCGATAATTTTTGAGTCTGTGTAGATTAACTTTATCCTAGTTAGCAGTCGTTATTTTTATTCTTCTCAGAATTTCTGTCATTTTGTTTTTTCACTTTCTTTCATTCCTATGCCAGGACACACACACGACGCCACAACTTCACCACAGCCAGCCACGCGACACACACGCCACACGATGCCACAACTTCACGGCTACCTACCATACGAAACACACACACACACACACCACACACACACACACACACACACACACACACACACACACACAGACGCCACACGCATGCACATCAAAAGCACAATATCTTCACATTACACACACTACATACGCTACAGCTACACAGCCACACACCACACGACAACCACACGCCACACAACAACCACTCGCCACACGACAACCACACGCCAGGCCTCTTAGCGGCAATGATGTGGCCGATGGCTCTACTGAGTGCATCCAGTATCATTGATAACTCGTGGAACGTTTGTACTAAGAGGAGTAACAATGCGGGTATTCAGCTGGCCGAGGTTTTGCTGGCTAGGGAACAAGTTTGTCGCTGTTGTTGTTGCTGTAGTAGTAGTAGTAGTAGTAGTAGTAGTAGTAGTAATTGTTGTTGTTGTTATTTTAGAAGTAGTAGTAGTAGTTGTTGTAGTAGTTGCTGTAGTAGTTGTTGTAGTAGTTGTTGTTGTAGTTTTTGTAGTGGTTGTTGTTGTAGTTGTTGTAGTAGTTGTTGTAGTTGTTGTTTTAGAAGTAGTAGTAGTTGTTGTTGCTGTTGTTGCTGCTGTTGTAGTTGTTGTAGTTGTATTAGTAGTTGTAGTTGTTGTAGTAGTAGTAGTAGTAGTAGTTGTAGTAGTAGTTGTTGTTGTTGTTATCATCTTCGCTGTTTTTTGTCATCATCTTCAATCTTGTTGTCATCATCTTCATCATCATCATCGTCATCATCGTCATCACCATCGTCGTCATTATCATCATCATCACCATTATCATCATCATCATCACCACCAGGGAAAGAGACCAGTGACCTTGGTTGGATTTGGGTTTGGGGCGAGGGTTATATTTTCATGCCTTAAGGAAATGTCTACTAGACAGAGTTAGTCGATTGCTGGTTGGTTGGCTGGTTGTTCGTTTGTTCATTCGTTTGTTCGTTCATTCGATCGTTTGTTTGTTTGTTTGCTTGTTAATTGTTGTGATGTTGTCGTTTATTAGTTGTTGTTGTTTCCGAATATTAAATATTCAACAACAACAACATCCCATCCACCGACGACATCAACAACAACATCCTATAACAACAACAGCAACCATAACAACAACAGCAGCAACAACAACAACAACACAACAATAACAACACTACCACCACTATCACCACTATCACCAACGACAACAACAACAACATCCCATCTACCAACAATAACAACAACACCACCACAACAACAGCAGCAACAACAACACAACCCTAACACCACTACCACCCACCCCAGATTACGAGGGCATTGTAGAGCAGGCTATCCTGTTAGGGGCACCTGTGACGTCAGATGGTGAGACGTGGAGAAAGGTAGCCAAGGTTGTCAGTGGGAGGATCGTTAATGGATACTCTAAGTATTCGTTTTTGGATTTTTTCATTCATTTATTCATTCATTCGTTTGTTAGTTTGTTTGGAATTCCATTTCTTTAATTCGTTTTTTTGTTCGTTTGT